TGCAATGCTGTACCCAAACGAAATTTCTTTTTTCGCACAAATAGAGCTTTCTTCTGGTGGTATTTGATCACCTGAGCGCTTTTTATTTTTTGCGCTATAAACAAAAAAAGTCCAAAAAGTTGGAAAAAAACCCAATAATTTTTACTTTCAGCTGGAAAAGATATATAAGAAACTCAAAGTCAGTCATAAATTTAGGGCAACATGTATTCTGGTATATGTATTTGGTAAAAAAATACCAATAAGTGTATATTGATTGCTTTGTGTGAATGTTATAGCGTCTACAAACTATGGTATAGATATTGGAATTTCCGCCATTTTTTGCTATACAGCACTGTGCTAGTTTAACTGACAATTGCACAGTCATGCAATACAGACAAATTAAATGTATGTCCTTTTTTCACACAAATAGATTACCTCTGGGATTTTTTTTTGCGCTATAAACAAAAAATGACCGAAAATTTTGAAAAAAATTATATTTTCTCATTTCTGTGATAAAAAATACCCAAAAAACATAAAGTTCTTCATACATTTAGGCAAAAATGTATTTTGCTACATGTCTTTGGTAAAAAAAAATCCCAATAACTGCATATTAATCGGTTTGTGTGAAAGTTATAGCATCTACAAACTATGTTATAGATAATGGAATTTACACAGCTTTTACTTTCCGACTGCCTATCACATTTCTTGAGGTGCTAAAATACCAGAACAGTACAAACACCCCAAATGACCCCTTTTCGGAAAGTAGATACTGTAAGCTATCTGCTGAGAGGCATGTTGAGTCCATGGAAGATTTATTTTTTTCCACAAGTTTTTGGAAAATTGCAAAAACATTTTTTTTTACCACAAAGTTGTCACTTAAATGATATATTGCTCACACATGCCATGGGTATATATGGAATTACACCCCAAAATACATTCTGCTATTTCTACCGAATATGGGGATACCAAATGTGCAAGACTTTTTGGGAGCCTAGCCACATACAGGAGCCTGAAATCCAATGACCACTTTGAATTCCTGAAGGTGCGTAAGTTCCTCATTTCACTTCCTCACTACCTATCACAGTTCTGGAGGCCCTGAAATGCCAGGATGGCACCCCCCCCATGAATGACCCCTTTTTGGAAAGTAGACACCCCAAGGAATTAAAAAAGAGGCATGGTGAGTATTTTTCAGATCTCAGTTTTTGTCACAAGGTTTTGAAATCTGAAAAAAGAAAAAAAAAAATAAGATTTTGTTTTCCATCCTTCATTTTCCAAAACGTTTGTGAACAGATGAGATCTGCAAAATACTCACCATGCTTCTTATCAAATTCCTTGGGGTGTCTACTTTCCAAAAAGGGGTCATTTGGGGGGGGAGGGGGTTTGGTGCTATCCTGGCATTTCAGGGCCTCCGAAACTGTGATAGGTAGTCAGGAAGTGTAATGAGGAAATAAACACTTTTAAAGCCTGAAGGTGCTTATTGGATTTTGGGGTCATGTACGCGGCCAGACTGCCAAAAAGTCTCTCTCATTGGTATCCCCATACTCGGGAGAATTCCATATATACCCTTGGCATGTGTGATCAATAAATCATTTAAGTGACAATTTTGTGTAAAAAAAATTATAATTTTTTTGTCATTTTTCAAAAATTTGTGGTACAAAAATTTAATTCTTCTATTGGCTCAATATGCCTCTCAGCAAATAGCTTGGGTGGCTACTTTCCAAAAGGGTCATTTGGTGGAGGGGGGGCATTTTATGCCCTGCATTAGAAGTTTATGCCACACTTCACTCATATCCTAACCACCTGAAGACCAAGCCTTTTCTAACACTTTTTGTTCACATGAAAAACAAAATCTGTATTTTTTTGCTAGGAAATTACTTTGAACCCCCAAACATTATATTTTTTTAGAGCAGACACCCTAGTGAATAAAATAGTGGGTGCTGCAATTTTTTTTATGTTACATATTACTCACGCAGAGATATTTCTAACTCACCTTTATTTAAAAAAAATACACAATTTTTTTTACTTTTAATGCACAAAAACACAATATATTGGCCATTTATTTGATAAAATATAAGAGATGATGGTATGTTGAGTAAATAGATACCAAACATGACATGCTTTAAAACTGCACACACACCATGCAATGGCGACAAACTATATACATTTTTAATATCCATAATATCTTATACATCTTGACCCCATATCTGGCATGCTTGCTTGGGAGAAATTGTTTGAATGCATGGCGGCCAGAAAAGCTAATGAGGGGCTCATCAACACAGATGTTTTGCTGGGGAGTATAGACATCTGCAAATTTTTGGTTAAGGTGATTTACGAGGGGCTGAATTTTGTGCAGCCGGTCAAATTAAGGCCCCCCCCCCCCGAGGATGACAGAGTGTGTTGTCATTGAAATGCATAAAACGTATTATATTCCCATATCTATGGCTGGCCATGGCAGCAGAGAACACAGGCATATGATGGTGGACCAATGCAACCGCAATTCATTTTTTCTACTAATGCCCATGTTGAGGGTTAGGCCCAAAATTTAAATGCAGAAATTGTAATAGGTTTCCATGCAAATGGTCTGACAAGGTTTGAATTTGGGTTGGCGTTGATAAACTGTTGTGCATATAAATTGCTTTGATCCATAATCAATGCATACAGATCTTCTGAGAAAAACAGCAACAAAAAATCAAGGGGAGTAGTTACATTTGCTGGTTTCACCTGAATTCCGGGTTGGGCAGTGAATGGGGGAGGAAGTACAGGTGCTGCAGAATTTGTGGGCTGCCAATCAGGATTTGCAAGCACATTGGGAAGGATACTGGGGGTCCTGTGTGCGAATTCTTGGTGGCTGCGGGACACTACTTGTGCTAGCCACTGCACCAGCTTGTACTACACTTATGGGACTCGCCACATCACCAAATGATACTGCAGTGCTGGTATGTATAAGACTAGGATGTACTAGGCCACTGGTGCTCACCAGTTCACCAAAAGGTAGAGCGGCACTAGTACTGGCACTCTGCTGCATGTGAGAATCATCATGCGATTATAACATCTCAGCAACCTGGGAATAGGGTCGGGTATGCCTGACCTTAGCAGGGACCTCTTCGCCATCGTCTGAGCTATCTGTCATGGTGCCACTGCTGTCTACAGGTTCGTATTCTGAGCCGGATTCTGTCAGTGAGGCTTCCGCTGATCTGATCAAAGATATTGATCCATTTAGACACTATACTAGCAATGGAGGTTTATCGTGTATGTGAGCGTGTTCCTGGCAATCAAGGGGTTAAATATGATGACTGGTGCAATGCCAGGCAATCTGACGCTATCTGGGAGGGACGCTAAACTGACGCTATCTGAAGTCGCCGGTGACACTAATGCAGTGATCAGTAAAAAAATCTGTACACTGTACTAATGACACTGGTAACAGGGCAGTGAAGGGGTTACCTGGGGGAGCGATCAAGGGGTTAAATATGACCTAACTGTGTGTGTGCTGTTTTACTCACTGTGACTTCTTTGTTATTATTATCATCACTTGTTAATTATTGCTCTGTGTCTTTAAGCTGTTTCCTCCTGTCTAAGCTGAGCTCTTTCTCTCACCGTACTTGTGTATACCCCTCCCCATTGTCTCTCTCTCTGGTCATTCCACAGTATCCGGTCTTCCTGTATTCATCTTTCCATAAGACTTACAACGTTAACATTTTTCTACCTATGATTATCCTCCAGTAAATGGAACATTCAAATGGTTTTCCTCAGCTGACTTCCTCAACATGTAAGTTTAATCATTGAGTTTAAACTGTCTGACTAGATGCAAGAGATAGATTCAACATCACGTCATATAGCTGTATACATCTCTGGAGATAAAGTTATGGTCTTGTAGTTGAGTCAGAACAAATAAAAACTGAGCATTATAAGCACCCCTGTCAGTGGTAAATGGTTTATTTCAACCCTCCAACTGGCACTTTTGCTGGACAGCTAGGTTAGGAATAATAACAGACTTACTGGCCAGATCACCAGATTAAAATAAAGGGAAAAAAACCCAAAAAGTGAAAACTAATGTTGCCGCCACATCTAAGAATTGGTAAAGTGCAATATTTTGGGGGTTTTAAAAGCACTTTCAATGTATCAGAATAATCCCCAGAAACCTAAACCTGTTAACCCTTTCTAAAACATTCTCTTCAATATTAATAGGGCTGTGCACTGTCACCAGTTAGCAAGTGAGGCTATTTTCTTCAAAACACTATACCAGGCACTTAACATTCTTCCTGAAGACCAATTTATCATAATTGTCAATCAGCATTATGATGGAAACAGAGCTCTGCTTAGCCACACAATCATAGGTGAAAAGAAATTACAATAGGCAAATCAGCACACTACCCTGCAGTGTATCAGTGTTAATAGCAATGGAAGAAGAAATATTCTTGCCAATATGCAGATGTCAGGGTCACCCAGTAAGGTCATTCAAAACCCAGTTGTGCAGAGAAGAGCAAAGGCCCAGAGCTTAACGATAAGTCAGGAAGGGATAACAGTTTTAAAAACTGAAAAATATAATTTTTCATAATAAAATTCTTTGTGGAAAAAATGAAAAATAGAGGAAAACAGTTGTTGTGTGTTGCAGATGCTAGTCTGAAATACTGCCTTAATAAGTTCAAATTCAATTTTGAAGGTCTTAAATCTACAGTGTTCATTACACACAATTATCTGATCTAGCAAGCATGATATTAGGGCAAATAAGACAATACTGACCAATGATTACCAGTTTGACAAGGGAAACATTGTTAATATTTGTAAAAATAGTTACATAATCAGGTTTAAAAATAAAAAGATACGTGCGAATTGAGTTCAGCTAATAGAAAAAAAATGAATGAATTGAAAACAATCTTCAGAACACTAAACCATCTGTTAATCCAGCAGAAGACTAAAAACCCCTTTGGAGCTTGGTCCAATTTGCCCTAAGGGCTAGTTCACACTAGATCCAGTTCAGTATGCTTTTTTTCTGCATCAAAAATGCATGCACAGTGTTTTCCATGTATTCCAATGGCCAGGGGCCTACTGACAACTCATGGGGCCCCGGGCAATAAGGGATCATGGGGCCCCTGTGTCCTTTCCCAAACTCAAAAAAGCCTATGAAAAAGGTACCAGGGGCATCTCATGGGGCCCCCTACTGACCCCGGGCCCTCAGGCAGTGCCGAGTTTCCAAATGGTCAATCCGCCCCTTCCAATGGCCCTAGTTCAGGGGTGGGCAAACTGCGGCTCTCCAGCTGTTGTGGAACTACATTTCCCATGAGGCATTGCAACATTACAAAACTGACAGTTACAGCTATGACTTGCAGAGGTATGATGGAACTTGTAGTCCTGCAACAGCTGGAGAGCCGCAGTTTGCCCACCCCTGCCCTAGTTCACACTAGTGCAGTCAGTTCCAGTCAGTTTCCGGTGCAGAAAAAAAAAGTAGCACATTGCATTTTTTTTGCACAGAACCATACTGGAACATAGCAAACTGCATCACAACTGTACTGGAACTGCGTGTGGTGTGAACTGTAAACAAAAACCTATCCTGAATGTATCCAGAGTGTATTTTTGTAGTGTGAACTGGCCCTAAAAGGGAAAAAAATCTTTCCTGACAATCAAAGACTCCCTGGATCTACAATCTAATGTGTTATTTTTTAAAATAAAAACAAGAAGAAAGGAACAAACAAAACCCCACATGTAAGGTAGTAGAACTTCCACTCTAGCATTAATGCTGTATAGAGTATAGTGCTTCAATCAACCTGTGTGACAATCCAAATAAATCGGCAGGTTTTAAAGGCAGCAAGCATAATACATAATGGTAAGGTAGCTACAATAATCTGTGCATTACCAAATCAAATAGAGAAAGACCAGGAGTGGCCAGCCATGCCTCCCAAAGTTTATCATATTTGCCTGGGTAGCCACGGTGTTGGTAAATTAAACAATCATATCGCAAAATGGTTCCCATATTCCATTTCCAATCTTCCAAAGTCTGGGGAACTTCTGATTTCCAACGCATAGAATGGTCTTGCACACCTGAAACAGGGCATTAGAGAGGGATTCTAGCAGGAAGGTGTCTTGGGTAACAAGGTCTAAAATTCCCAAGAGGCATTGTTTAGGGTCTATAGTTAGGGTAGTTTGAAACACTGAGTTAAAAGTGTTTACTACCCCTTCCCAGTACTGGTGAAGTTTCGGGCAATGCCACAGCATGTGGATAGGATCCCGATAATCCCATTTGCATCTACCACAAATAGGGTCCTGGGGTACCCTCATAGTACATAGTTTAGTTGTTGTGTAGTAAACGCCAAGTAAAATATATAGTTGTGAGATATGGTGAGAAACATTCAGCGAGCTAAATTGAACCACCTGCAATGCTGATTCCCATTGGTCTTCCTCAAAGGCCCCTATATCTCACTCCCATTGCCCACTGGTCCTATTTGGGTGTCCCTCCAGATAGTCCAACAAAAGCATGCTATAGCAGCAAGAAATAAGCCCTTTGGTAGTTGTGGCTGATTGCAAGTAATTGAAAATAGGGGTGGGGGAAGAGTGCCATAAGGCTGACGGACATTGTGTGGTGACTGCATGCTTTAACTGTATGTAGTAGAACAGCATAGTGGACAGGAAGTTATACCTGGACTGAAAAGTATCAAAAGGTATGCGTTGACCATTGTCAAATATATGTTTCAAGTGAGTCACCCCATAAGATTTCCACTTGAAGGCATATTGTAACTTAGCCCATTCAATCTACGGTGTTATTACTTATAAATAATGCCAACCAGTTATATTTTGTGAATTTAGAAAAACATCAAGTCTTTCATTTAAAACAATCTACAGAGTTGGCTAGATCCTGTGGAAGTGTATTCCACATTTTTACTGTGAAGAATTCTTAGGAGGAGATTTACTAAAACTGCTGCACACAGAATCTGGTGCAGCTGTGCATGGTAGCCAATCAGCTTCTAACTTCAGCTTGTTTATTAAGCTTTGGCAATAAAACCTGGAAGCTGATTGGTTTCTATGCAGAGTTGCACTAGATTTTGCACACTCCAGTTCTAGAAAATAATCCCTTTAGTGTCTTTGGAGATTAATTTTTTTGCAGGCACATACTTGGCCCCTTGCTAATTTATAATAATTTTAAAGTGTAACTATACCAAAAATCAAAAATGCAATAAATTGCTGCTTTGAACAGTAAAAAAAACAGAAAGCTCCACCATCTAAGTAGTTGTTTATTAAAAACATATAGGAAGGGTTAAATTGCACTCACATTCTAATAGATAAAAGTAGGCACATCAAAGTCACTGCAGAGTTCACCAGCGCAGCGGCCGGGACAGTAATGCCTGTGAACGTACATGGATACATATGGCCTCTACCTTCCCCCTGGTCTACAAAGTAATATAAGGTTGTTTCAGAAATATTTGGAAACGTATAAAACATACATTGTGATGGCACTCATTGATTATATCCACATACAATATCTTTATTAAACTGGGTTAAATTATAAATGAACATACATAAGACAAGTGACAAATATAAAACCAAAAACCTACCAACCACCCATTGTAACAAATCCAGTATTCTCTTATTTCTCTATAGATAGAATCGGTGGCCACTCAAAGTTACCAGCTATAAATAAACTATTTAAACTGGTTACTGAACCTTAGATGAGATGATATACAAGGATAGAGGAGTACAGACACTCAGCTGGATGAAATATTATATCATGGCATTATCAGAAACAACATGAACACTATGGGGGCTGATTTACTAAGAATAAGGTGAAGCAATAGATACTAGACACCAAATTACACCTAATTGAAACAATTAAAACCTTGCCAAGGTGAACGGAAAAGCGACTTCAAAAAGGAAAATGACTTTTAGTAAACGTTAGTAAAGTCACGTTTACATAATAGGCCATGCTAATCTTGGTCCCTGGAGGGCATATGTAAGAGGTGTAGAAAATAGGCAGCCCCATAAAATTTAAATCCAAAGCCTAATACCTAATATAACAGTAATCTATCTTTGTCAATAGAAGATACTAGTGATTGCATTTTTATTGTACCATCACAAGAGGGCAGAACTACTTCCTGTGATAATAGGAAGACACAGAAGTAGGAACTGAAAGTCTAACACTTTGTTTCCTACAGGACAGTGATTACAGTGAACATATCCAGTCACATGTAATTAAGAGTTTTCTGTGTTTGTTACAGGTAAGCAGGAGGCTGTTTAACATGATAAATAGGACAAAATGACTTAACATGTGCCCTGGTGGTTAGTAAATGTCGCTGTTACTATTATACAATCAGATTACTTGTAGCATAAATGTGTATATATATTGCAGCTGTGTGATTTGGCGCTAAGATACAGGGAATGTGATTTCTCTATTGTAATATGCTATTGTTATGCAGAATAGGTCACTTGCATATCTGCAGAGGTCTAGATATTCAGTATTGCAATTAAAAATGTTTATTAATGTATATGAAACTACTTATTAATGTATATGGAAATATTTAGTAATGTATAGAGGACAGTGATTACAGTGAACATATCCAGTCCCATGTAATTAAGAGTTTTCTGTGTTTGTTACAGCCATTCCTAATAAAACACTTCTGGTTTCACCCGACCCATCCTTCGCACAGTTGAATTATTTACCGTATGTGCAACACATAGGAATGCAGGATTAAGTCAAGATTGTGTGTGTGTGTGTGTGTGTAAAAAGAAACAATTGGCAGGTGTGATTTGTTGTTTGCTGATGTGCAGTGCGGATTGAAGCTCAGGTTTCACAGTTAATTGATACAGAAATTGTTCACTGCTTCATATCAAGTTTACGTAAGGTTCAGGACAGGATTAAATATGCCAAAAACTCCTGGGCATAGGTGTAGAGGGCTGAAGACAGGGAAGTGAGGTGGAACCCAAATGTATGGGAAATTACAAGCAGATAGGCCAAGCCTTGCTGCTCCCATGTACGACGGAGAAGTCAGATATAACTGCAGAAAAAAATGGAAACAAGAGTGCATTGGTCTAGCACATTACCCCAGATAACAGTTTATTGAATTATAATTATATATACTCACAAACAAAAGGTGACAAATTGCATAACATATGACAGCCACTGGAAACATGCTCCATATGGCACCAAGGGCCCGACATAAATGAAGTGCCATCCAAAGGCCAAAGAAAGGCTGAACGTTTCGAGAGAAACCCTCTTCCTCAGGGGCTCTGTGAACGTCCTTCAGCAAATGTGATGATGCAATGCTGGTCCTGAGACCGTGTGTGTCATAACTAATTTTTATGTGAGATTGTAGCTCCCACACATGCAGATTTCCTTTGTGCAATACATTATGAAAACTATTTGACATTATATACAAATTTATTGGTGTTCCTCAGATTGCAGCTAGTGAATTAGAGAAAAAAAAACCCCCACAAAAGCCCAAGTTGACATGTTAAAGGATAAGTTCACCTTTGGAACGTGTTAGATGTTCCATACGTTTTAGGGTGGAAGATGGAATATGTTCCCATAGCCGCAGAAGCGCCATCCCCTGACAGATAATATGGGGAGACATTTCCCTATACTATTTGTCAGAATTGAAGACAGCGTGGCCATGCGGGGCTCCGCCCACACTGCCACGTCACTAATTCACAGAGTTCTGTGGATGAGTGCCTACAAGCCCCAGCAACCTTAGTGGCTGTCAGCTTGTAGTTTTCAATTAACTACCATGGTGCCGTGGTAGTTCATTCAAGCTTCCTGTCAGAATATCTGCTTGACTGTACATCCATACAGCTAGCAAAAATTCTGAGAGGTCTGCAGGAGACGTGAATAGCCCTTTGGACAAAAATAATAAATGCTAATTTTTTTTTACCTGCAAAAAAAGGTACATTTGTTATTTTTGTCCAAAAGGTGAACTTATCCTTTAAATACTCTACCTATCCACCAATTAAATTCAATGGTCCCTGAAATTTAGCTTTGGAGCTGTTAAAAAAAAACAAACACAGAAAAAAACTAACATTTTTTATTTAAACACCTTGTCTGTGTGCGGAATAAAATAGTTTAT